AGTGATATCTGAGAGAATTTGAAATAAGGAAGAACTGGAAGACACCTAGCCCCCACTCCAGATCTTTATTTTTGAGAGATGGAAACTGGCTGTGAGCACATAGCTGGTGAGCACAAGGTGCAGGAGGAGAAGCCAGGTTTCCTGTCTCCCAGGGCTATTTGCAGTTTGTATGGCATGGTCCTAGTGATCCTAAGGAAAAAAATGAACAACAGCAAGTTTGTGTTCTCAGAAACCAGACCTCTAGGCAGAGCAACACTCCCTGCTTCCATTTCTGTCTGCTTCTATCTTACCTTCTTCCTCCTCCACCCCTCCCTTCCCAGGGCCACTCTGTTACGCTTTCATAGTGTCCTAAATCACTTTTATTAAACATTTTTAAATAACTAATGAATCTTTAACTATCATTGCATTTATGTATTAGAAAACTGCTTGCTCAATTAAATGTAAGAATTATGTAATTCAGCCTTAAACAGAGCATAGCTTTTAGCTCTACAAGTATTTTAGGAAAAACAAACATGAAACTGAAAACAGCAACCTATACCTTTTACAGCTACATGTGACTAAAACACAACACATTCAAATGAAATGACCAACTACGTACATCAATTCAGGACACTACTCAGACACTGATTCCTTCAGGACTGAATCGGTAAACAGGAGCCTTTGCATGCATACATTCACGCCTTCACCTGCAGCCATTATCGGACACACTATCAAACAGAAACCCTGAGAAAAGTCTAGAAAAGGAGCCAGAGTCCCATGGGACCTAGTTACCATCTCCTCCCTATTCACTGTTTCTGAGGGTTTACATTTAAAAAAAAAATTAAGTTTTTTCTTTCTTTCTTTTATGAAAGAAAGAAAGAGATGGAAAGAGAAAGAGAGAATGAGAAGATAAGCACTCACAGCAGGGTCTCATGCCGTGATGTTCCCTCTGCAGAGCCTTCCCAGCCGGTTAGGGTCATGGCCACGACGCATGTGCCCAACATGTACAGGTCAAGTGGGGAATAAGCCCACAATCTTCTATATAGATCCAGCGGCACTTGGGCAGTGTGTTATCACTGAGCCAAGGAGCTGGCCAGAGAGTTTAAGTTTTCAGCTGTATTTAAAGAAAATATTTTAATCTCAGGAACCAGCAGTTAGCGTAATGGCTATGTCCTTGGACTCTCACGTAGTCGACCACAGTTTGCGTCCCGGACCCGGTGGCTTAAAACTCACCCCGGGCACGAGTGCATGCGTGCCCAAGACCCTGAGAGGAGAATGGAGGAGAAGGGATTGCGGCATGACCATCCCCCCTGGGGGGTGATTTCTTGCTTTCTGTCTTTATATCTCTCTCTGTCTGTTTGGCGCATGCGCCCTGCAGTGAAAACCTCTCCCTCCCCCTCAAAAAAAAAAAAAAAAAGAAAATATTTTAATCTTTAAAAATGCTTTTAAAATATTACAGGAAAAAGTTTATACTGAACATTAAAAGGAAAAATTATGATTTATGGAGCCAGCAAGTGGTATGATGGTTAAGGATCTGGATTCCCACACAGCTGACCATAGCTTGAACCCCAGACACAATGGCTTAAAAACAACATCAGGTGTGTGCAGGCAGCCAAAATCCCAAGAGAAGAAAGGAGAAGCGATTGAAGCATGGCCCTCTCCCCCGGGGAGTGGTTTCTCATTTTTCCTCTCTCTGACTCTCTCCAGCTAACACATCCATCCTATAACCTATGTGTGTGTGTGTGTGTGTAAAATCCATCTACTCATACAAAAATGTCCTAATGAAATTTTTTTTTTGGAGACGTTTTTGCTATAGGGCGTGTGTGCTTGCCAGACAGAGACAGAGAGACAGAAAGCAAGAAATCACCACCCAGGGGGGATGGCCCTGCCGCAATTTCTTCTCCTTCGTTCTCCTCTCAGGATCTTAAGCACGCATGCACACATGCCCAACGTGAGTACCGTCCCCGGACACAAACCGCAGTCGACTATATGGGAGTCCAGCGACATAGCCATTACGCTAACTGCTGGTCCCAGTCCTAATGATATTTTGACACTATAATAAAAATAGCAATTCTTGGACTATGGATTATGAGTAGCTTTAATATTTCCTTTATCCCTTACATTTTAAAATATTTCCAAGGACCAGTGGATGGCATGGTGGTTGTATCACTGGACTTCCACTTAGTCGAATGTGGTTTGAGTCCAGGACCTGACAGCTTACAACTCATGCCAGGCATATGTGCATGTGTGACCAAAATTCTGAGAGAGAGTGGAGGAGAAGGGCTTGGAGCATGGCCATCCCCCTCTGAGGGGTGATTTCTTGCTTTTTGTCTCTCTGTCTCTCCAGTGCGCACATATATTCTATTGCAAAAATCTATCTAAAAAAAAATTCTACCAACTAAAAGTGATTACTTTTATAACAAAATTGTTGGGAAAAACACTGTTTAAAATGAAATAAATACAATATAAAATATTTCAGTTACATGAACTATTATTGACTCAGAGACTCTATATGCTTCCTGAGTCTTGACTGTTAGTCACAGAATTTGAACCTTGAATAAGTCATGAAATTTCATATTCACTTTCCTTCTATGTAAAATGGAGATATAAAAATATTTGCCTGAGATTTTTGTTGTGAGGATTGAAAGAGGTATTTGTAAATTCCCAGTTCAATTTCCAAGGATGGTAGGGCTAAGTTATTCATATTCATTACCACCTCTCCTATTACAGGTCACACTTGGTCACTCCGCCACAGGTAATTATACTTTTTGTAGTGGAGGAGAAGGGCTTGGAGCATGGCCATCCCCCTCTGAGGGGTGATTTCTTGCTTTTTGTCTCTCTGTCTCTCCAGTGAGCACATATATTCTATTGCAAAAATCTATCTAAAAAAAAATTCTACCAACTAAAAGTGATTACTTTTATAACAAAATTGTTGGGAAAAACACTGTTTAAAATGAAATAAATACAATATAAAATATTTCAGTTACATGAACTATTATTGACTCAGAGACTCTATATGCTTCCTGAGTCTTGACTGTTAGTCACAGAATTTGAACCTTGAATAAGTCATGAAATTTCATATTCACTTTCCTTCTATGTAAAATGGAGATATAAAAATATTTGCCTGAGATTTTTGTTGTGAGGATTGAAAGAGGTATTTGTAAATTCCCAGTTCAATTTCCAAGGATGGTAGGGCTAAGTTATTCATATTCATTACCACCTCTCCTATTACAGGTCACACTTGGTCACTCCGCCACAGGTAATTATACTTTTTGTCTTATTCTGCAGCCAAATTAGCTCCTCATATTTTGGTAAAGTGTGAATAAGAAACAATCTGCATCAGAATCATTCAAAAAGCTTTGTAAAAATGCATTTATTGAGTTAGAATTTCTGAGACTGGGAAGTTTGTAGTAATGTTTGCATTTTTAGCAAGATTGCATTTCTAGCAAGAATCTATATGTTAATTTTGTTTTGAATATAACTAAGATCCACTGAGAAGTCTAGTCCTTAACAAGGTGGTTGAACACTGTACTGGACCACAGCCTGAAAAGAAACAGTACAACTGCTTACATCGTTTTGGACAAATAAAGTGTTACAAAAATGAAACAAAATGGCAGCCAATTGCAAGTATCTGCATTTTCTGCAGAAAAACAAAATGTGTTCCTTCATATTTGGAGAAGCGAATTGTTTAGTGTCCTTTATAACAAATTTATAATGGTTTGCTTGTGTTTCTGCCTGTGGTATTGCTTGGCCATGCTGCCAATTTTACACCTTGTGAATGATAGCTACTATATCTTATCTCTTGGTATATCCTTGGTGTCTAGGACAGTGTCTGGCAACAGTAAAAGCTTGATAAATGTGTTCCTCTAATTGCACAGAAGCCTGGGGCATTAGGACTCAATAAGCCATAAGTAGCCCTACTTCCCAGCTCAAGTACATGATGCTGACGACCACTGAAGATCAGTGTTTTAGACAAGTGAAAAATTTGCATATGCCAATTAATAACACTCACAATGACAGACACATACAAACAGCTAAATTTTTAAATTGCTATTATGTCAAGGTTTAGTTTTATGGAATCACTTTGACTTAAAGATCATCTTCTGTTCCTAAACTCACTTATGTTCCTAAACCCATGTAATAATTGCCTCTTACTAGGTTCCTCTGCACTTTAGAAAGAAGTTACAAGCTATCATGAGATTTCCAGGAAAACAAACAAACAAACAAAAACTGTTCACTTTTCTTTTCCTAAGCATCTAAGAGGTAACCAGCTTGACTAGCTGTTCTAGCTGTTCCATGACACCAGTGCATTGAACACTCCCAACTCTAGGGGTTAGAATTTCGTATTCCCATTTCACTGATTAACAAATTCAGCTCAAAGAGAGCAGAGGGCTCACCAAAGTCAAACAGTACTTGGAGTCAAACAGGAATCCAACTTTTCAGCATCCTGAGCCAAGTTTTACTACTGATTTTAAATTTATTATTTCTCTCTCTCTCTCTTTCTGTCCTTTACTTATTTTTGAATTTTAAGTGAGAAAATGTCTTTGGCAAGCTTTGCAGGAAACACCTGAGGCCCAGCCCCAGGGGAGCAGGCAGAAGGGGCACTATTGCGTGATGCTGACAACCAAGTGGAAAGGCTCTGGGATCATGTCTCAAGTTTGCTCCAATACATTGTGTGTACCCGTGAACCTGGCTCTCTCCAGAGCCAGGGGAAGGAACACAGCATAAGGACTATTGAAGATCTCTGTCTCTGTCTTACTCAGAAACAAACAAACAAAAACAAGCAAACAAAGAAAACTTGTTAATTTGCTCTTAGTTGAGTGAAACATTATCAAGACCATTAAGATTATTCTCTTTCATGAAAATAATCTAGACATTAATCCTATTATTTACAGAAATATTCGTTCCTCCAAGAAGTTAATTCCTTACATTTTTATTTACACCAGTGTCCCCTTCCAGTGGGTTTCTCTTTACTTCCTACCATAGGGGTTAGGTTACACCCATGTGGGAATTGACCTTACCAGTGATGTTACAGTACACTTGGAGAGGGCCCAGAGGCCCACTGCCATCTGAGTCGATGTAGAAGAAACCAGCCGTGTTCCCCTGGTGCCTGTACGCCTCACAGGATTGCTCATAGATGGCTGAAAAGACACAAAGGCAGCAGAGAGGAAATTTTGTTTGACTCTGTAGGGGTCAGTAACTCCTATTTACACAGCTGGCCCTCCATACACATAGATTCAAAAAACCACCAGTCAAAAATACTGAAATAAATAAGTATAAATAAAACATGATACCATTTAAAACGAGGGACAAGCAGATGGCATAATGGTTGCTTCTCTAGACTCTCAAGTAAGTGACCACAGTTCAAGTCCCAGCCTCAGTGGCTTAAACTCATACTGGATGCATGTGCATTGTGCCCAAAATCCCAAAAGGAGACTGGATCACCCCCTGGGGGGTGATTCCTCACTTTCTGTCTCTCTATCTTTCTCTATGTCTTCCCTGTGTGCATGCACCCTATAGCAAAAATCTCTCAAAAAAATTAAAATGCAGCACAGAATAATAACTATTTGTGTAGCATTGACTTTTAATCTTTTTTTAGGTATGATAAGAAATCTAGAGGTGATTTAATATATACAAAGATTGTGCATAGGTTATATGCAAATACTATTTCACTTTGTACAAGAAACTTAAGAATCCTCAGATTTTGCCATTTGCAGATGTCCTGAAATTAATCTCTATGGATACCAAGGAACAATAGTAATTACTTTTCATGTTTAGTTGTTTCCCTTATTATGTAGTCTTGACTTTCTTCTAAAGCTTAACAAACCAGTGTCCCAACCTTTGATAATCACATCTTCCATTCATCCTAACTCATTCATTCTTCTAAACTCACCCCCCAAGAATCTCCCTTACCACTTATGGGAACTTCCTCTCTGCTGACTTATATTTGCTCCTTTTATGACCCTATATTGAAGTAGGATTATCAATATATTATTATTCTGTCTTCCTCAATGGGTTGTAGAATCTCTAAGGAAAGTAGTCTTCTGCTGTTAGACATTGTTTCTTAGCTTCTAGCAGGGTAGCATACTCACAGCTGAAGTTCAACAAATACATAATTATTGAAGTTAAAAATAATGCACATGTTTGATTATCTCTTTTTATTAATAAAGTGAAAAGACACTGTGTTATTTCTATATTCCCAGAACCCAGTACAGTAGCACATATATAGCAGGTGGAGCATGCACACACATGCATCCAGCATGAGTTTAGCGCATTTGTTTAGTCTATTTTTTTTAACCACCACGCCACCTGCTGGCCTAGTCTATTTTTTTTTTAAGTTTATTTTTTTCTTTCATGAAAGTGAAAAATAAGGAGAACAAGAGAGAGAAGCATCCTCTACAGGATCTCACACTTTGATCACACTTTGATCGTCCCTCTCACACCCCAGCCCAGTCTTCCCAGTCAGCCAGCATCACAAATGCACTCTCTCAGCATGCACAAGGTCAACCATGGAACCCAACACTGGCTCTTTTTTTTCTTTTTTTGGAGAGGTTTTTGCTATAGAGCACGTGCGCTCGCCAGACAGACAGAGAGAGATAGAGAGACAGAAAGCGAGAAATCACCCCAGTGGGGGGATGGCCACGCTGCAATCCCTTCTCCTCCATTCTCCTCTCGGGATCTTGGGCACACATGCACATGTGCCCGGTGTGAGTTTTAAGCCACTGGGTCCAGGAAGCGAACCGTGGTTGACTACGTGGGAGTCCAGCGACATAGCCATTACGCTAACTGCTGGTCCCCAACACTGGTTCTTCATATCGGATCCAGGATCGCTTGAGCAGCATGATACTGCTGTGCCACAAAGCTGTTCCAAGTTCAGTCCATTTTAACATAAGAAGCCTTTACTAAGTTCATGGTAAGTGTCAACAGGTGTGGCACCACGAGAGGAAGACCCATAGTTGAGACAATCAGTCTACTCTAGAAAGCTGACAGACTGGCTAGCAGGTACAAAGATCTCTGTATGCTCAGATAGAGGAAGGCTCAGTTGTCCTGAGATAGCAAGCTTTGCTCAGCCTGCAGTCTGAGAAATGTACAAATTTCACAAAACATGCATGACTGCATTTGGAGGGATGTCAAGCAGGCATCTGCCATGTCATGCATAGGAATATTGGCTGTAAACTGATGCTACAGACAAAACACTGTGACTCAGAGCAGCAGGTCCTATCCAATCATGCCACCCTCTCATGCTTAAAGCACTTCAGTGGCTCCTACAACTTTCAAGATACAGAACAAACATTTCACCTATGCCAACTCCTGCCCCTTGTGAGCAATGCCCTGTCCCAGGGCTATGAAGCTGCAGATTGTCATAATCAAATGTGAGGGGCACCTCAAACAATTCATTAGCAGCCAAGTTCTAAAGTTTCAGAGGGTTCGACTTTGTATAAATTAGAGTGAGTCGAAGGTTATCCTTGCACTCCTGGAATTCTCTTTTGCACATTCCTGCACACCTTCTGATGTAGGAGGTAGGTGGGAGTGTCATAGTTTGTGCCTTACATATTAAATGGGCATTATTTATGTTTGTTCAAGCCTGGTAGTATACTTGGATGGCGTTACACATGTGAGAGTCAGCTTTTATGTGTGTGAGCCCTCCTCAAACATGAACACTCTCCCAAGGTGACAACCATGTCTAAGGAGTCACTGCTGTCCCACAAAGGGTGAGCACTACCAGGCAGCATATGGGTGGTTGCTGATAACAGTGTGTAAGAACATTGTCCCTGCAATCCAAGGGGATGGTTGAACATGATGGTGCTACCACTGACTGCCTATGGGAGCTCAGAACAGCTAACTCATCTGTGGGATGTAACCTTTTTATTTATTATTTGTTTATTTATTTATTTTTAAAAGGAATTATTTATTCATTCGTTTTTTTTTTTTTTTTTTTTTTTTTTTTTTTTTTTTTTTTTTTTTTTTGTTTGTTTGACCAGAAAGAGAGAAATAGAGGGAAAGTGAGAAAGCAAGCCGCCAGGCCTGGGACCTGAACCCTGGTTGGCCATGTGGGACTGTCTAGTGCCTTAACCACCACTCCACCTGCTGGTCCCTGTGGGGTGTAACCTTTAAGGTAGCTCCCATGATGGATGCTTCCAGGTATTCACATCTTGGTCATAATCCCTCCCCACCGCCCAATGGGTTGCATCTTGCTTCTAACAAATAGAATGTGACAGAAGTAATAGATATCATTTCCATGGGTTATAAAAAGGTAGTGGCTTCCATTTGGGGTACTCCTGGATCACTTGTTGAGCTAGAGACCAACCGCTGTTATAAGGTAGCCCCACAAAGAGATGCATCTGAGTGATCTTGAAAGCTTCTGCAGCCTGCCTTGTGAGAGAGTGCTGAGGCAGAATCCCACAGTTCAACCATGAAATGATTTCTGCCCTAGCCAACATTGCGATTGTAGTCATAGGAGAGACTAAGCCGGAACCACCCAGCTGAGCTGCTCATAGACCTGGAGAAACTATGCCATGATAACGTATGTTGCTTACAGATGCTAAATTTTACAAGGATTTGTGATAATAGATATATAATAAACTCAAATTTCTCATTTGGGTATAGGTCTAAAGAGAGCCTACTTCATACTGTAGTAGTAACCACCCATGTTTGTGTGGCACCTGAAAAAAAAGCTTAACAATTACGAACTGCTACTGTGATTATTATCCCATATTTCAGGTCATGTTACCCCTTCTTTTCATCAGTTTTCTACTTGATGGTTTTTTTTTTTTTTTTTTTTTTTTTTAGTTTTCGACATGAATCTTGCTATAAAAAACCTATAGTCCTACCTCCCTCCTGTACAGAGACAATGACTTTCAATTCTTAGTTTACTCTTTTGGTTTTACTCTTATATTAATATATCTAAATAGTATAACTATATTGCTACTTACTTTTTTTTCCATTGGTAAGTAATACATTTCACAAGATATGTATTCACTTACCTATATGGAAGATGAGGACTTAGTGCTTTTTCATTCATCCTCCCCAAAATATAAACAATTTTTTCATTTTGCTATTCTTGCAATATAATTGTACTATATTTTTAGTTAGATAAGTGATTACTTTGTATAGTGACATATATTACGAATGCTAGTCATAATTAGCCACATAGTATAATGTAAATACATTTTCTTATCTGAATAAAATTTAGTTTTCTTTAGAATGAACAATTGTCTTATTCTCACATTTGCTTAGCTACCTATATATCAGTAATTTAATTCTAAATTCACTAACAACTATCTAAAATGTCTCCTCAAATATTCAAGTAAAATCTAATATAAATAACTACATATGGGGGGGAGAAAAAAAATGGGAATGGAGACAAGGATGAAATCTGTACCTTTCTGGATGTTTTCTACATTTAAAAAAAAACCTTTAAAAAGTTTATTTATATATTTATTTATTTGCTTCATGAGAGAAAATATGTGCACATGTATGAGAGTAAGCACACTCAAAAGGGTCTTGTCATACCACAGTTCTCCACCTATTACCCACCAGCTCATCAGCATCTTGAGTTGTACCTGCATACCTAACAGTAAATTCAAACCTATGGGTGTCTATGTGGCTTCCAGCACCGCAGTTCATTAAGCTATTAACTGCTCCACTGAGGCTGGGTCTTGATGTTTTAAAATTTGCCACAGAGCATGTGCACCTACCAGGGAGAGACAGAGAGAGAGGAAGAGAGAGAGAGAGAGAAGGAAATGAGAAAACACTCCCTAGGGGAGAATGGTTATACCATAATCACTTCTCTTCTACTCTTCTCTTGGGATTTTGGGCACACACACACACACACACACACACACACACACACATGTGCCCTGCCCTCCCCACACACACATGTGGCATGCCTCTCAAGCCACCAGGTCTGAGAATCAAACTACAATACCAGTTATGTAGGACCTAGTTACCCAACCACAATGCCATGAGTTGGCCCTATTTTAAATAATTTTAAAAACTGAAATTAAATGAAAGCTAATATTTCAACACTGAAAAGGAAATAAAGATGAATTTAATAGGAATTCTTTTGAGTAATATGAAAATTTAGTGTAGTATTTTCTGCTTAACTTTGTGTTACAGAAACTTCAAAACACATACATAG